AGTATGACTACCTTTAGTGCGGGACAATGGGGACTCCGATTGGTAAGCTAAAAATATTGGAGATCCAAGAAATTAGAGATATCAATTATTCTAACATTTATCCTCCAATACCTGGCACTATTACCCTAGCATAATCTATCGTTTTGTTCGGACTGTTAAAGCTTTAAGTTGCCTATATTATTGTAATTCATAAAATGCGGAAACATCCAGAAAAGAAATCGATCATTTGCTAGAAATTGTTTAACTTCTGAATAATGATTACTAAGAAATTATTATCAATTATCTTACCTTCTCCAATGTTCTCTCGTAAGTTCTGATGCTTTCAATGAGACTGATGGCAAAGGGATACAGCTGATTCGCCTGATGAGCTTTATTCACGATGGGTAGAGGCACACGAAATCCGAGGTTCCTCAAATTTCTTACTTCTTTAGACAGCGTAATAATCTCAGGAAGGAAATTCACTTTCAGTTTCAGCACATTGCCGCGCCCTGTTCTTGAACGCACGCTCTCGATCGTGAAGATGCGTCCAGTTACACCAAGATTTCGTGCCTGCACCTTGCGTGCCCAGTCATCGAAAATCTCTTGCGTTGACAGTTTCATACGGAAACTGTCTCCATCGGCTTTTAGTTTTTGACCCTCGATATGACTTTCCCATCCTTTGCCTAAATATACGCATATAACGTTAAATTGAGAAAATATTTTCTACAGTTCAAAAATTGGGAGAGAAATTACCTAGAACATCCTCGACTCGTTTTAAATACATTGTCAATTGGTAATCGATTTGTTTGACCCATATTATCGATCCAGCTACAGGTGGCAAGTCTCTCACCATACTCATTCTGCAACATTTGCTTTGCGCATATTGAACCTACAAAGAATTTATCGCAATCGTTAAGATACATATATACATATATTTAAGTTGCAAGTACATCTAAAGTTGAAGTTATCTTAACATTAATAGTACCTTGAACTTTTCGTGAAGAGCCTCGATATCGTCTTTGACTCTCTGAATAAGTTGCGTCTGATATTCTCTGATAGCGCCTCGAATATGCGGCCGTACGAAGAGGGCGTTAAATCGTGAAAATATTCTGAACATTTCATTCGCGTTCTTGGCTGTACCCAATTGATCCCGGAGGTGTGCGGTGATCCGCGCCTCCACGCGCTCGATACGCTCCTCGTATCTGTGCACTGCTGCGTCCCAGGACTCCTGTCCTTCCTTGGTAATGTCCAGACAATCCACTTCCTTTACATTCTCGTACGCCAAGTTAACTTCGCTGATAGCATTAGCGTCGGCGGCATCCAGCGCAAATTCCACCTTCACGTTGTCGTTATCGGCGTTCTCCATCGTGGAAGTATTACTGTTATGGCGTACGGTAGGCCTGAGCACGCGGACTATCACAGTTCTCAGTTGTTCGTGCTGACGTCGGAAGCGGCGCATGTGCTCCATCCTCAACTGCAACTTCTTGTGTGCAGGCAGTACTCTCCATACCATCTTCATGTGTTCATCGCGCTTCTTCTTTACGACGTCCCTCAACAATCCTGTGAGTTTGTCATACTCGTCATCCCAAGTGGTGAACACTTCGAAGCATTGCGCCATGACTTTCTCGAAATCGTCGAATGGAATGTGCATCAGACGTCGTGTGCCCAGTACCTTAAGCAACTGTTGCCCCAAATCTCTCGAAATAGCCTCTACCAATCTCAACACTCTTTGAATGGGATACTTGGTGCTCCTGATTTTCCTTAAGTGCATGAATATCTGCTGCACGCTGCTGCGTATTCGTTCCAGTTCGGTAGCTGACAGTAAGTCATTAATCGGAAAGTCTTTCATCAACGGATTGTAATCGTTAACGGTGGCTAGCGCTTGCTTCAAGCCGGTGTCAGTGTCGAAACTGACGGTGGCGTGAAACCGCTTGCCGTGCTTGAGTATATCGAGCGTCAGGGAGATTTCGATGCTCTCCCGTTTCTCTTGAATGCGATGCAGTGCTCTCTCGAGGTTCAACCAGAACGATATCTCCTGAAGGGCCGTACCCGATTCCGGATCACGGTTCAACTTCGTCACTTTCTGGATCTCCTTTATCCACCTGTTGACACCATTCTGCAACTGATTCAGGAATGTCGAGTCCTCGACCTTGTCGCCGAAATCGGCGACTTTTGGCTTACGACCCTCCTCCTCGCACTGTTTAATAACTTGCGCGACGATCGGATGAACCGGTAACGAGATCTCAGGGATATCGATATTCTGCTGTAAATGTAGTAGCCCCATTTCAAGTTCTGCAATCTTCTTCTCCACCAATGGAACCATTTTATCCCCATCCCTATGGGCGCGACCTGTTTCCTTCACGTAACTCTTGAAATAGGGTGCCATGGTCTTGCTTATCGCATGCAAAGTTTCGTATGGTGGCCCATCAGAGAAAGTAATCAGACGCACTTGCGAATGAATGGATTTGTCAGCCTCGACAACAATACTGCGTTTTGTTAGAACTAGGGAGGCCATTTTTGGATTTGAAAAGTGTATCTCATTTGATATATAATAAGTGGCATTCTCCTTGTCTTCATCTCCCTCGCCACTATCTTCTTCTGCAAAGAGAGAATGCATGATTAATACAATGATTTAATTCAACTTCAGTTTTTCAATAATTATCACAATAGCAATTAATTTCAGAAAAGAAGAACAAACAAAAAATATGGAAAAAAATTAGATTAATAAAAACTTTTAATTTATCAATATCTTGTTCATAACGTAAAATAAAAATTTTAATTATTTAAATTGGCCGTTAGAGTAAATGCTTTCATTAAAGTATTAAAAAAATACATAATTTATATACATACATAAATAGTTAATATATAAATTTAATTTGATACGTTTAGTAATTAAATCACAATAATAACAATTGTAATAGTATGAAATTTGTAAGGTTCGTCAAAATGATGCACACTTAATAGGCGTGATATATTTGAATGTCTTCGACAAGTCAACGTGAGGACATGTTCGCTGCTTCGTCGTTGCTTCGAGACTAATTAGAACAAAAAGTAAATTTCTAGGCGCTCGTGCCCACAACACGACGGTGTCGAGCATCACCAAATCACGTGAAGTGCGTGTAGCCTAAACATAACATACATAACAAAACCGAAAAGCTACTAATTCTCTTTATATATATATCTCGATTAATGACAATAATATAACTCTCGCATACTTATTCTAATTAATACTTATTACACAATAAATTTCAGAAAAGAAAAAGTACGGAAGTTTTAATTTATCGATATCTTGTTTGTAATGTAAAATACAGATTTAAATATTTAAATTGATCGTTTAAGTACACATTTACACGTAGAGAACATTACAAAATATATACAATACAATTTATACATATAGTATTAAGTATATATAAAATTTCATTATTCAATGATTAGAGTACATAAAAATAGACGAACGATGTTTATCGCCAAGATTATAAATCTGACGGATTTACACATAGATGGTGCCTGCGTAGTAAAGCGCAAACGCGACAGAATCCATGGATTTGTTATCAAACTATACCTGCTCGTTACCACTGCGCGTTCGCCAAGGCGTAATAGGTACACGCGTGAGAACTGCTTGGGAATCGAGATGAAGATCACGGAAGGAATAAATTGTGCGTCGCCCACGTAATTAATCGATACCCACCGTTACGCACTTATCGATCTCGTCAGCTCGAATGAGTCATATTTGGCGGGAGAGCGGGGCGTGAACGTGCCGCGATTGATTTTGCAGGATGCGAGGCTTCCTACCTCAACATACTTATACGTGCGAATGTACCGTTGCGCGCTCCAAGTTAACGCATTCGATAATGGAGGAGCCTCGCATCGCCGGTCGCCGACTGTCGGCCGATCTTCGTCGTTCTCGGCGAGAACGGTGACAAGAGAGACCGATGATATAATGACCGATCGATCGCACTTTACCTTTGCTCGAGCTCCTCTGCACGTAGAGCGAGCTGACCTGCGAGTCGCCGAGGAACTTGCGGATGCAATCCTGATTGTAGCGATCGTCGAGCGCCAGGTTGAACGCGGGCGGCACCGCATCCTCGTCCGGCAACAGCACGGTGACGGCCTTGCGCAGATAGCTGGCGAACGTCGGGAACTCGACGATCGCGACGTTCTGCGACTCCGGGGACGGTTCCCCGGAGCCGTCCAAGGAATCGCCCATGCCGGGTCGGTTGGTATCTGCCACTCGATCGCTACCACTTGCTTACTCTGCTTCGGGTCCGTTTTCGATGGACGATCGTGATCACCGGGAGGGGTAGAACGAACGATCACCGACCCCCTCCGCCGCCAGAATGAACTGTCAAGCGACCGAACGCGACACGAGCGGCACGAGCGTGCACGAACTGGCACGAACGTCACGAACTATATAGTTCTTTGGGCTACGAGTTGGAGGCTGCCACTTTGCAAATTTATGCGATAGCTGGAAATTACATTGGAAGATAAAGATATGCGTGATTAGATGCTTCTCCATCATACAATGTGCTGGATGCGCTGTAAATATATTATTAATACTACCGATCCCTCTGGACAAATTTTTCTTATCAGTGGAAGATGAAAGGTATTTGAAAAATATCGATATTATCAATCGTCGATATAAATATATATATATATATATTTATTTTATATTTTTAATAATAAGAATATATATTTTTATGATATAAATACAATTTTCAATTGTATACATTAAAGTGGCATTAATAAGAAAATTGCAGTTTAAAATAAAAACTGAATATTATCGAGTTATAAATATTTACAAAAATATCAATAAAAAAAATTAATTATTAAAACTATTCACATACTTGAAAATTAACAATTGCAAGAAAAGTAATACTGATTCATTGTTAAATTCATTATTCAATAGGAAAATAAAGAAATTATTTTTAAAGAGTGCATATTAAAGTTTATTTATATGTTATATGTATAAAATTACATCATAAATATTTACCTCTATTAGTTGGTTTCAAAATTTTGTTTATAAGAATCTTTATGAGTATTTAAATGATAATTATCATATAGAAATATATATTTCTATTGTTTGTTAATTGTTGATATCTGTTCAAAAGTAAAGTCTTTGTACGAGAGCCGTCCTCGCGGACGGTCGACATTTTGTGTGGAAGCAATAAACCTGAATCTAATCGTACACAAGTCCATTTATTGTTTGTATCATCCTGACAACAGTCTTCCACAGTAAATCCTTTACAACTTTAATGATGATGTTTTTCATTATCATTAAATAAACATACAATATTTCATTCGATATTTAAAATGAGGTGAAAAGAAAGATGGAGAGTTAAAGAGATAATTTGGAAAATTAATCAATTTTCAAATATAAATATCAAACTTAACTCTTTATTATTCAGAGTTTCCACGCACATTATTTTCCTCACTATCGCTTGCATTATTTATAATCTCATCCTCAGAATTTTCACCACTTCCTATGAATGTTTCCTCATGGAGAAAAGATGGTGGTAGTTTAGTGATAAATCGCATGGCTTTGGTTTCGAGAAGAATCTGTGGTATAGATGTAACTAATTTTTGATCTCTATTCTCACAGATCTCGATAGATGATTTATTAAAAATATTCTGTCGTTCCAGTTCTCTTACAATTTCGTTTTCTTCACCTGATTCACAGGATTTTCCATGGACAGGCGAATTATTTCTAATTTTATAAGTAGGAGAAATCACTCCTCTATTATCTAAATTACTATTGCTTGACAATGACCATATGTAGTAAGAAGGCATTGGAGGTGGAACTGGTGCAACCTGATATTCCTTGTCATCTTCAGTATTCGATACAGAATTCCTTGACATATTCTTATATATACGTTGTAATGCCCTGGACTCTCGTTCAGACATAGACTTATGTTTATCAACTAAAGCTTCTTTCAACTCGCTCATAAAATTTTTCGCTAGAAGTTTATCTAACTTTTGTTGCTTTAATGAGTATTCATCTGTATCTTCGTCTAATGGTTTTAAATATTCCTCCTTGATATACTCTTCAAATACTTCGTCAAGAATCTGTGGGTCCGAATCGATTATTACTGGCAAATCGGGATTCTGATTGATCGTTGTCTCATCGATTATAGGTTGACTGCTCCTCAGATCACTGATTCCTGATCTTGCCATTAACAGAACGACAAATTCTGCCAGGCTCTTAGCTGTGTTGATCTCCTTGAATGCTTTATCCAAATTTTGCATCAGTGTGTCAGCTGTTTCATTATCGAAACCAATATTCTGATTAATACGATCATCAATATCTTTAAATGTTGAAAAAATTTGATTGTAGGCTAATTGTAATTTATAGGATGCCAAATCCAATTGGACAGTTGGATCATGCCACTTAGCTTTGTTCTGTGTTCTAATAAAAAAATGTCTTATAATATGTTACTTTACTATTATAATAAGCATAAATATAATCGTAATAAACAAATCTTTCAACTTACTTATATCGAACTGGTTCTGTTTTGTAAGTACGATACATATTAATAATTTCTGACAATTTAATTTTATATACTGTCAATTCTTTAGCTAAAATATGAATTATACGAGCTAATTCTGTTTCAGGAATCTTCTGGCAGGACTTTAGCCAAGTATTACTATCATATGCAATAGCTAATAAATATAACATTTCTGATTGTACCAGAAGATAGGTGTTATACAACTTCTATAAAAAAATATATTTAAAAAAATAAAATTATCATAAAATATATATATATGAATTTCATTATTGATTTACCTTTAATGTTTGATAGTCGATTTCACCAGATATTTCAAATGAGTTATACTCAAATTTTGTAAATAGTTCTTCACTAAGTACATCTTGTGGCAGTAATTTTGCGATTGACAGTGAACATTTGTAATATCGGCAGGAAATATTTTCCATGAATTGTATTAAAGTATTTTTTAAATATTCTAGATGCTGCATCTTTTCACCTAAGAAATGACTAGTACCAACAAACAGAAATAGGATAACAGTAGTGTCTATATCTGTATCTAAATCTTTGTATATGTATAGACATAAAATATTAATTTTTTGATTTATATATATTTCATTGAATGACTTACGAAAATTGTTGAAGACATGAATCAGAATTCAATTTTATTTTATAATCACGTCGTAAAATCTTAAGGCCATCTTGACACATAAGAAAAAGTTCATTTTGTGATAATATAACATTTTCTAGATTTCTTTTTGCATAAAAACGTAAATATTTTATATAACCAATGCAACAGATTGTAAATGACGCAAATAATGTTGGCAATATCTTATATTTACACCATGAAACATATGTTGAAGAGACTAATACAGCACTAGCCATAATTAATTCTTCTAATGTTATTCTGCAAAATTTGAATAATTTCATTCTTTTACTAAATCGAAAACATCAATTTTAATTATTGCACATTTTGAAAATTCTATAAAAGTAAAAAAAATATATTACGTAAACATTAAAACAAAAATGATTCAAGAACTATCTTTTTCGGTAGCTTCTATAATAATGTGACAATGTAATTATAATAATTTAAAGAAATTACTAGTTTATTCTACAATTACCTTTTAGAATTGTTATTGCATATGGTTATAAAGCCATTAATCACAGAAAAATGATCATTTAACAAGGCCTCTGCATTTAAAATAACACTCAATTGTTTTTCAGAATTGCTCTTCTCCTGCAAACAGTATATAAAATAACTTATGGAAAACAATGAAATATATGTTGCGGTTATATAATTCTTTTCAAAGCAGAATACCTGTATTATCCAAGAATAAAGAAAAAATAATCTTGTATAAATCTTTTTCACAATATTCTTAATATCCTGGAAAAATGAGAGATGTTATATATATAGAAATGTTGTATATGCTGTGTTCTATATATAATATAAAAGTTTATTACGATATTCAAATAACTCTCTTGTTTGAATTCCGTTCTCTTGGATAAAGGTACAGTTTCAAAGTCTGTGTAACCTAATTTTGAAAGATGTTCATGAAGAGCACTACCCTAAAATACAGATGAAGATATTAAATTTTTAGGAGTAATTATTCTTCGTTATTTTTAATTACTATACATCATTTTATCCTGTTATTTTAAACTTATCGTTCTTTGTATTATTCTTAACCTATAGTTATCTCTGTGACTTGTATAGAATCAATAATGTGTATCTAACGTAAAAATTACTTAATTAAATTGAAAAAGAGCAACTTTAAATTTTTTTCCAACACTTAATTTGTAGAAAGTAGCAAAAAATATGTTAGTATGTAGATAACCTTCTTTGTTTAAGACAGCAAATGGTCTTTTTTAAGTACATTGCGAATTTAAGAAATTCAAGGAATGGATTTATCATACTTGTATCACAACATCTTCGTCTTCTTCGTTAAAGCCATGCACTTCCATTGTTAGTATATATTTAATGCACTATAAATAATCTAATGCAATTGCACATGTTACATCACTAGTATCTTGCAAAATTCCTATTTTAAAAGAGGAAATGCAAATTCACGAATCGTAAAATACTTTAATTGGATTTAAAAAATCCATAGTATTATTTTCTCGTTATTTCTTCATTTTAAAAGGTTGGTTAACACATGATCATTGTTTGCATTTGCATACGTCGAAAAGAAACAGGGCCGGTAAACTCATATTCCTAGTATTCCTACGGTTTTCACGTAGACTAAAGTCACTAGATTTATAAATCTAGTGACTTTAACAATAGACAATGTTTTAGCGCCTCTACAAATCGCGCCCGGTCTTCGAGGAACTAAAATGCAATATGGCTGCCGCTTGCATATAGCTGTCGCCAGAGAGAAACTATTTTTATTATATTTTTCATAATAATGAAAAATAATCACTTGGGGGTACTATAACTAATTTTTGGAGGGTGGACAAATGAAAATAACGGATGGACAAACGTCGACAAACAGTGAACAAACTAATGCAATAATGATTTTACCAAAATTCGCATTTAGGGGTGCCGACTTCACAGAGCTGCTCTGTGAAGTCGGCATCCCTAAATGCGAATTTTGGTAAAATCATTATTGCATTCGTTTGTCCATTGTTTGTCCACGTTTGTCCATGCACTCATTATTTTCGTTTGTCCACCTTATTTTTATTATATTTTTCATAATAATGAAAAATAATCACTTGGGGGTCCTACAATTTTTTTTTGTGTATAACTTTTTTGTAGAGGATGGACTTGGCATCTGTTTCCTTACATTTTAAGTGAAGTCTTCTAGTGACAGCTTCAGTATTCGCTGTTGCATGATATAGATATAAAATTTTCATAATCTATTTTTATTTATTTATTTTTGATGGATTATGCTGTGCTTATCTTTTCCAGCCAGGCATTAGATAGTTTGATATTCTTTCTTGACTGTCACTCATGAATTTCGGCGAGGAAAATTTGTTTGAAAAACGCAGAAAAGAAAAGTTCCTTAAATTATAATTTAATATGCTAGTAATTATTATAGTCGATGACAGCTAGATCTAGATCTTTATAAATATTATTATCAAGAGTCAACGAATAGATCGAAAAAAAAAGGAATCGTAGAATCTACAAGATGTAATATAAAAACTTAATAAAATACATAGTTGCGTGTAAAGTCGTTTTATGTGCTCTTGGATAATACATACGTACATATAAAAAAATTACTAGAATAAAGCAATCTACTCTAGGTCATCTGTGTATTTATTCTGTCGCTCAGTACTTGTTAGTTGATATATATATTTCTACTTCATCATTCTATATAAGCACTTTATAGTGTAATTCCCCAATAGTGGTGTTTAAAGGATTTGTACAAACTATGTATTTCTGAAGTTCTTATAGAAAGTATTAAATCACGTACATCTGTCTTTCAAGCAGCAAAAATCGATTCAAGTTACTAGCCGACGACCCAAGAACTATGACAAAATCGCTACAGTCATCGATGGCACCAATATTCATAATCAGTTCGTTCCATTGTTTAAGTTTGTTTGAGTATCCACTTGGACAACCTAGGCTGGATTTCTCTTGCCTGTATGCTTTAACCGTATGGGGCACTCTTATATGCTATTATTATCCACAATACTCCTATGGATGGCAGAATAATTTAATAAGCTTTATAGATATCTTCATCTTTATACTTTCATTATTCATCCTTTTATCGATTTTTATCAGCTTGTATCGTTATAAGGTAACACTTTTTTAATATTCTTTTCTAGTCTCTAAAATTACTTGATTTTTTAATGTTTCTTAACTTTTGTTTAAACGGATCTTTAATTGAAAATGTTGAAGATGTCATAGCAATTAAACATTTTTTATTTTGAACAAATATAAATTAATTAATTCTTTTTCAATCAATTTTAATGTTTATATTAATATAGTGTAGATAATCTGTGTTTAGAACAATTAAGTTTAATCATACTACACTTTTCAAAATAATTAATTTATGTCTTATGTTTAAAATACTAATCAAATTGCAATAACACTTTCGTATTTAACATATTTTCGGTACACATTTCTATAGCAATTTTTATTATTTTAAGTATAAAATTATAATAGTTTCTCTATTTTATGTCGCATAACCAGCCAATATGATTTTTTAAAGGAATTGAAAATATGTTTACGTGAACTCTCCATAGTAGACGACACATTGGAAGCTCTCGGTTCGCCAAAGGAATACCAAATGCTGAGTAACTGGATAAATCGAATAATGATAGGATGGATTGCAATCACTTTTACTAGTTTAGCGATAACAATTTATACGTTTCCTATTTATTATCCTTCATACAGTTCCCTATCATTTTTTGGAAAATTTTTTTCGGTGGTTATAGTAACTTATTCACAAAATGTAATTGACTTAAGTTCTTTGATTTGTGGAATTGTCCTTGGGTTAGTATATATATGTCAATACTTAGTTTGACTTTGATTTTTTATTAATAAAGTTAAAATATGCGTGTATACGAGGGTGGATGGTTTGAAAAGTCCGTGCAAAAATATTTAAGTTTTTTAGATAATCATTTTTATTTTTAATGTAGGCTCCTTTCAAGCTTATACACTTTGTCCAACGCTGCACTGGTTTGTTAATTCCTTCTGAATAATAGGATTAGTTCAACTGTGCAAAATAGTTATTCGTTTCCGCAATTATCTCCTCATTTGAATAAAATCTTCTTTCTGTGAGCAAATTTTTCATATTGGGGAACAAATAGTAGTCTGAGGGAGCCAAATCTGAAGAATACGGGGATACGGAACAAGTAAAACATTAATTCTATCAATTTTGCGGCCACTATCCAGAGGAGTGAGCTGGTGTGTTGTCGTAAAGGAAAAGGACTTTTTGTGAGCCAATCATGGTCGTTTTTTTTTTTGCAATTTGGTTTTCAAACTTTCCAATAATAAGAAATAAAATTCACTTGTAATAGTCAATGAGGATTATTTCTTGCGAATCCCAAAAGATAGTCGCCTTAATTCCCGGTCGAAGGAACGGTTCTTGTCTCCTTTGGTGCAGATTCCCAGCTGGCAAGCCATTGTTTAAACTGTTTCTTGGTCTCAGGCATGTGTAATGATGTATCCATTTCGTTTACAGTGATAAAATGACGTCTTTCAAACCACCTTCGTATTGTACGCATTTTAATTTTACTGAAGGACATAGCTGAATCTCTTTCATTCCATTCAG